GGTTGAGTGTATGGAATGCATTTGATTTACAACGCGATAATATATGAGGAAATTCAAATGTTTGATATGTGCTTGAACAATGAATAAAAAATACGTATGCAAAAAAATGGTATGCGTAGGATCAAACGAGCCATGCGCACAAAGAGTCTTAATAAAAGAAATGGAAAGTTGAGAGGCGGCGGCATTGCAAGTTGTAGAATATTTTTGTAGATGTCCCGACGATAAGCTCTTCGATTTGAGCTTTGTTGCTTTCCTCGGCACGCTGTGGCTGTTGCGATCAACGCGATGATCAGCGTGAGGAAAATGACCGTTGAGAATATGAAGTATTGCTTTATAATTGAAAAGAACTCAGGTATATCTGGTAATTCTAGTTTGAAAGTATTGATCTCTGTGTTGGAATTACCTTGTAGTGCTCTCATATTATAAAATGGAAATACTCCTTTAATGAAATGTAATTGACCCGTGATGGAGAATATCTGCTGATTTGTGCCGCATCTTGCTTTGCATGTTTCGTTGAATACGGCTTTAATGGCGTAAAAATGTATCTCATTTGTATATCCTGTTGGTGTACAGGTGATAGTGAATGACTGTGTGTGGCAGTTTATTTCCGCTATTGCGTGAGGGATGTTAGAGAAACATGACAAATAAGTCACTGCACCTTTTCAGCAGTTATAACAACCCAGTATCGATGCGCTAGGTATGCGGCATTGGAACTGTTCGTGTGTAAAACGGATATCTGATTCACTTGTGTTGACTAACAGAGCAACTTCAGTACTTGCTTCTAAAGTCCGTATTGTTAGTCTATTGTATTTACCTTCAGTATCTATTAATGCATTCGGCATTTTGATTGGTAAGATTTGACTCAGTTCTAGTGCTTGAGACACGTTGTTGTGTGTGCAGTAACAGTTTACGCTATCTTCTGCTGGGCGGCAAGAGCACGTGTCACGGATAGTACATTCTTTTCCCTTATGCAGTGATGAATCATTTTTTGCGTCGAGGCATGCGTAGCTGAAGGTGTGTTGTTGTTTTAATCTTGCCGTCATTTTTGAATTATCAATGAATGTGTCGCCTAGAAGCGGCATGGTTGGTATTTGTATTGATGTTATCACTATACGCATGCCATTAAAATTCTTTCGAACATTTTGTTCAAATTCTATAGTGTGGGTCTGTGGTTTTTCATGGAAATTTGTTTGTGCAATTGAAAGTGCCACTTTCATCGACCAAGTAGGGCAATGATAGACTTCGTATAAATCTTTGTCTGTTGGAACGTGATAAATTCTGTAGAAAAGGCATCCTGAGGAAGGAAATCCGCAGGAGCACCCTAGTCCTCCACATGATTCCGTGCAGTACGTTCTTCCGGTAAAATTGTTCGACATTGCAAGTTCTTCTATTTTTGAATCGGGCGTGATTTTAGCACATTTTGATCCTGAGCATGTGCCCATGTGTGGACAACGCTTGCTGTATTGCACTCGAGTTTCTGTATTGCGTGTATAGTAAAGGCTCTCTTTATTGCACCTCAAAATGACTTCCTTCAAAGTAATTTTTGTTTGTGAAATTGTGATGTTGCGATGCTGGATGTGAAAGCATGCTTCTGGTTGCAAAGAATTGATTTTTAGTAGTAACGCATGCTTTTTGGTGCATGTGTCTGCTGAGCTGCATTGTGTTATGTCCGATTGAAGTACTATTGTTTGTTGACATGCTATTACGTTCAGTGTTATGATGTTGGCGGATATCATCGCTATGGTTACTATTTTTACCAGAGCTGATGGTTTCCATTTCTCGCTTGAATTTGAGCGCACTTCTACTAATGGGATGTTTTCCTTGTTTACTGTATTGTTCCATCCATTCTTGTAGCATGCATGCACAATTCGTAGCATGAGGGTGCCAGTTTTATAAATGCTTGTACAAAGACAACGTCGTGCTTTGTTGACGCATAAGAGGGAAAGCGTTATGGTCATCAAACTTGAATAGATGAATATTGCAATAACTATTATTGTGGTTTTTGGCCAACAATGGGGATTACTGATCATAGTGTTACAAAATGTGCATTTTATTTGCTCGCAAAATGGACTTGGTGGACACGTGAATTGAAATGCTTGATTAGTATCTAACATCAAAGTTTTGATCAAGACGTTATGCCTGTGTAATATCACTTCTGGCGGAAACTGAATGGTCACGTTATCTTCTGGGTTGTTTACCTCTAAACAATGATGTTCACCACATACTTGAAGTTTTTGCGCTGCTCCCACTTCATATATTTTAACCCCGCCACGAATGCATTCCGTTTCCAGCGTTGTAGTAGTTGTTTTTTGTGCTATTGTTTGGCGTGGGAACAAGCAGAGTAATGATATTGCATAAATCCATGCATGCCAGTTGACTTTGAATGCGTTTCCTGATTTCTTGCTTTCCGTGTTGTATACATAGTGAACGTTATCCTTCGCTTTTCTAGGTAATGAGGGTCGTTTTGTTTGCTTTTGTTCTCCGTCTTCGCTTTCCATGTTAGCAACGATGTTCCCTTCTTCACTAGTGGATGATTTGTCTGTTTGTGCGTCTTTGTGTGTTTGCGGTTGATTTTCGTCGTCTAACTCCAAAGGAACTAGCATGTTTATCGATCTCGTGAGTTTTGCGCGTTGCGCTGTACGCAACGTTACCTCTCGTATCTCCCCATCGGGATCGTGTTTGACTCCTTCGACAATTCCCATAGGCCATGATCCTCTTTTTGTATTCTCATCCATTATGAGAACAACTTCGCCTTTTGCAGGGACTTTTCTAGTGAATGATTTTTGTCGGATACGTTTTTGGTGAAAATTTCGCAGTTCTAACAGATATTGAGCGGTCCACAACGACCATAGGTTGTCCAGATACTTTATAGTGCTTTTCAGTTTTTGAAATGCTTCTTCTTTGGTTGTTAGTACTTCTATGTAGTCTTCGTCGTTCTCGTCATCATTATGCGATGCTAGTATGTTTTGTGTCGATTGCGGCATGAGAAAATCGATAGGGCGCACGATCAGTGAGTCTTCGAGTGAGCTGCCGCAGTATGCAAGGGGGCGAGAATTTATTATTGCTTCCGTTTCTGTGATTATGGTTTGAAACTGCGTTGGAGTGAGAGATGTTTTTCCTAGTGCTTTTCGCAAGCACATTTTCATTACACCAATCAATCTTTCGTAAAATCCTCCTTTCCAGGGGGATAACGGTGTTATGAATTTCCATTGAATCTGTTTCTTGCATGAGAATTCATTCAAAATATATTGTTGTTGTTGCTCTATACAATTTTTCGTTTCGTTAGTGATGATTTCTTTACCTAATTTGAAATTGGTCGCGTTATCTGTTATAATTGTGGATGGGACTCCGCGTCTTGCTATAAATCGTCGGAATCCATTAATCAATGCTTCAGAACTTAAATTTTCTACGATTTCCAGGTGAACGGCTCTTGTTGCCATGCAAGAAAACAAGCATACCCATTGCTTAGTGATTTCTGAGGTGGTGTGTAGCGCGAATGGACCTGCTAGATCAATTCCGACGTGATCGAATGGATGAGATGGTACCACTCTGCTTTGTGGTAACGCCGGACTAGCGGCATAGAAATAAGGTTTGCCGTTCCACTTTTTGCATTTTATGCAGTTTTTGAGTATTTTTCGAACTACCGTTCTTCCTTTTGGGATCCAATATTTTGTTCTTAAATTTGCCAATGTGCCATTTACTCCCTGATGACCAACATTTTCGTGGAATTCACGTGCAATTTGCTCTGTGGTTGTGTGGTTTGGCGGCAAAAATATGGGGTTGTTTGTGTCTATGCATAACTTAGAATGCTGTATGCGGCCATAGCATCTTAGTATACCGTCCTCATCTTTAATCAGGTTCAAATGAGAGTATTTATTGATTGCTTGAGGATGATGCCTTTGAGTTGAGCTGTTTTTCAGCCTGTCGCATGTCAGTGGGACATGGTATATGCAATGGTAGGTCAAGTGTGATGCAGGCTATTTCAGGTATGTGGTTTTGCAGATATTTTTGTTTTTCCTTGCTTATTTTTGAATATATGAGTGTTTTGAGAAATTTCAATACCAGTACCATGACTTTTTTGCTTCGATACCAAGATGACGTTTGAATAACTAGTGAATCTTTGTTTTGGTTTTCCCCTTTCTTTGTCGTCGTTAAGACCGATGTTTTGCTAGGTTGTTGATGTGAATTCTGCCCTGAACTCCGCTTTTCCTCAGAGTCCGTTTCTGTTGTTTTCGTTTGTTCTCCAGGGAAGTATGTAATATGTTTCCATGTTTGCTGGACCTGCTTCAAGAATGCGGGTCCTTTCCACCACATATGTTTACTGAATTGATCGGCTGTTACTCCTCGCGTTGCGCAATCTGCAGGATTCTCGTTTGTAGGAATATATGCCAATCGACATGAAGTTGAATTCTTTTCAAGTTCTGATATGATCTTTTTTACAATGGTGACGCGATTTTCAATAAACGTGCTTGTCTTTTTGTGAATTTTCATCCATTGTAGAGCTATTTGAGAGTCGCTGAAAACGTGAACTTCTTCAATGGGTATGTCCAATTCTCTACATATGAAACGTGTTAATTGCATGCCTAACTGAAGCGCTAGTAGTTCCAGTCGTGGGATTGTGAGATTCGATTGCTTTGTTTGAAGCTTTTTTGGAGCGAGTCGATTGCGTGCGGCCACGATCTGTGAGCTTATTACTTTTCCTTTACTTTCCACCATTCTCAAGTAGGTGCACGCCGCAAAACATCTCAGAGAAGCATCGACAAATGTATGCAATTGATATTTAATATTCGGTTGGCGGATTACTATTTGTCTTGGAAGGTTGATTTCAAAGTTTTCTCCTTGTGAACATATTTCTTTCCATTGAGCATCATGCGATGGTGATAATGGTGTGTCCCACTCGTAACTTTGCTCCCATAAATCTTGCAAAAACAATTTTGCTGGAAGCAGTATTGGCGCAAGCAATCCTAATGGATCGAATGTGCTTTGAGTGGCTCTCAACACTATACGTTTTGTTGGGCAAGGGTTATAATGCAGTTTTGATTGTAGCAGAAAATGATCGGCTTTTGGTTTCCATGGAATTCCTAAAATTTTGTGCTCTTCATGCTGTGCCAAATCTGGCTTTGATATTAGTGCATTACATTCTTCATCGTTGGTCATAAATTCTCTCAAGTTCATTGCCATATTTTGAAATAGCTTCTTGCTTAGTTTGTATTTCTCGATTAGTTCATTTGGTTCGTCCGCGGTTAGTAGCACATTGTCTACATATAGGTTGCGTACTAACTCCTTTGAAATTACAGTGTCTTTGCTGTGTTCGAGCGAGTATCGTATAGACATTGCTAGTAAAAATGGTGAGGCATTGATTCCGAATGCTAATCTTCTGAACCTCAGTATTTCGATGTTGTCAGGCGTAGGAGGCTGTGTTGTATCAGTCAGCCAGAGAAATCTTACCGCGTCTCGATCAAGCTTGTTGAGATAAATGGTATGGAAAGCCTTTTCCACGTCTGCTATGATGATTTTGTTACCCACTCTTGCTCGAAGTATAATTCCGGTTAAGTTGGGTAAGAGAAGTGGTCCTTGGTGTACCACATCGTTAAGGCTCAACTCGCCTTTGCATTTGGATGATGCGTCTAGGACAATTCGGACCTTAGTTGTATGACTACTTGGTTTCAGTACCGCTTGGTGCGGAATATAATATAATGGGCTTGCAGCAGAATTTCCTCCTTTTGCTTTTTCTATGATGCCGTTATTGAATTGGTCACGAATTAATTTGCAATACTCCTCCCAAAGTTTTGGATTTTTATGGGCCAATTTGTATTGTTGATGCAGTCTACTCAATGCAAGTTTGTAATTGTTCGCTAGCTTATCTTTATTGGCCTTCCACGGAAGGCGAACATATATCTTTTTGTCGTGAATTTCTATAGTTTTGTAGAAATTATCGATAATTTTTTCGGTTTCTTCTTGTTCCGATAAGGAGTTGGTAATTCCCATACTCTCTAAACTGTAGGAATTGGGGTAATCGAAATTGTTTTCCGTTTGCGAGAAAAGTGTACATTTCTCATTGTAGGCTCCTGGCCCTGCATGCGAGTGCTTTCCTGAGATTGTGTACCCAAAAAATGTTAGACTCAAATAGAATCCTGAAGGTAACCTTACTGGTGGCTGGTTGGCAATGAAAATTTCATTGAAATAGTCAATTCCGAGCAAGATACTTGGTTGTGTTGCATCATGATCGATCTTGAGCTTAGTATTGTCTATTAGAAGTTGTCTTCTTATGAAAGCGAGGTCTTCCATGGTAAGATCACAAAATTTGAGCTTGTCTGTGATGTGATCTTGCGTCAATAACGAGACATTTAGGGTTTCCCCGTAACTGTTGACAAGCGCTGTTTTTACTACTGTTGTTTTCTTTCTTTCTACGTGACCCCCAAAGGTTGAGACAACTATGGTCTGTTCCGAGAGTGAAGGCAAATTGAGTTTTCTGGTTACCTCTGTTGTAATGAACGAAGAATCTGAAGCTGAGTCGAGTAAGGCTGTTAGATTCTCCAGCTTTCCTGACTGAGTGTTCCGTACATATACTGGCACTGTCATTAGTCTGGTACACGAAGGACAATCTGAAATGCTGAAAGCTGGCGTTGATATGATTTTATCTTCGTGAATTGCATTGGGACTCGCTTTTGCTGTTGTTTTTGAAAAGGTTTCTACAACTGTAGGTTTCTGTGCCGAAACGTCTTCCGCAGTGCTGGCGTAATTGATAAATGTGACTCTTTTTTGTGGTGAAGTGCGGGTTGGTGAATTATGAGAGGATCTGCTGGAACTTCTGCTTCTATTTCTGTAGGTAGTCGGTAGTGTGCTTATCCCTTCATAATTAGTTTTCCGTGCTGGTGACGCGCTTCGCGATCTCATTTGGTAGTTGTCGCGATATCTTCGAGATGGAGATGTAAATTGTCTTCTAGGTGATCGATTCTGCTTGAATATTGGTGATCTTGATGTTCTCGAAACAAAGTGATTCTGCTGAGACAGGCGGTCATTTTGAAACTTCCTAAAAGAAGCTGGTACTGGTGACCTCGATCTTCGCGTCACGTCCTCACGCCAAATGCGAAAAGTGTTATTTTTGTAGCATAACAAAGAATGGTGATTACCATTGCAATATTGACATTTTGGCTTGTTGCATACGTGAGCTTGATGGCGCTTGCTGAAGCAAATTAGACAGGCATTTAGTTGCCATAGTCGGTTGAGTTTTTCTTTGCGAGTTCTGTATCTGACACAGTCTACGAATCTATGTAATCCGCCGCATCCGGTGCAGTTTACTGTCGTTGATTTTGTTTGGATATGAAACGTGGACGATTCGCTTGTTTCCGAATCTCGTCCTTGAATGAAGCTAATGTGTATTCGTCGCTTTACAATGACATCTAAGTTGTCTAGCAATTCTGCCATTGTCCATATCTTATTTAGATCATACTCCCTCTTTGCTGCTTCTTCTTGTACACTTTTAGGGAACTTGTTAGTGACCGTTTGTAGTAGATTGGTGCTGTCTACGGCTTCTCCTTGCCTACGCATCTCCGTAACCAGTGTTAAGATGTCGTTGTAGGTATTTTGAAGTTGACGTGGGTCGTCGCCCACTCTTGGAAGTGTTTGCAGCTTTCGTAGGAGCAGTGTTTTGTTGCGACGTTCATCTTGATATTGTGCCCTTAGCTGTTGAATAGCTAATTCATAGGATTTGGCGCTGCGCGGTATCATCCTTAATGTTCGCTCCGCGTCGCCTTTGCAACATGCTAACAGAATGGATAGTTTTTCTAGATCTGAATATGGTTGATTGTGTACCAACTCTTGAAATAGTTCCCAGAACGATTCGAATTCTGCTGGTTTTCCGTAAAAATCGGGTACTCGCAGTTCATGGCCGTATGGATAACGCCAAGGCTGTGGGTGATCCCGATTGGACGTTGTAGTAGCAGTAGTTTGATTATTTTGTGCGTGGGTCTGATTGAGATCTCTTCCTTGGTTACGTTCTTCCATAGCCTGGAAGAGTAAAGTACATCGTTTATTTGTTTCTTGAATTGGTGGTCTTGAACTTGCTACCTCTGAAGATGTTATGTTAACAGCTTGCTCTTGACATTCCAACTCCACGATTCGCACTTCCAGCTTTCGTCGAGTTGAAACACTGATGTCAAGACTTTCGTCTGCTTTGCGATTTTCCCAGTATGAATCGAATTCCTTTTCGAGACTTTCTCCGTATGTTGTGTTATTCAGTTTGAACGTTTCCAAGGCACGCGCTTGGTTGCTGTATTCGGTCATAATTTGATCTTCCTTTTCTTTCATTTGATTGGTTAGGTTTTTGATTATTGCTCTGTTTGCCAATGTGAATCGGTGTATCTCTTCCACATTGATTGGGAACTGCCACGGTTCCTTGAATGTATTTGCCTCAACAATCAAACTGGCAAGCTCATTGAGTTGCCTGGTTAATCGTTGCTTACAGGATTTCATGTTGAATTCAGATGCCATATTTCAGACACGACAGCCTTGGACAGACGACTCCAAGTATGAGGAGGCTATGTGACTCGCGTCTTATATAACTGTTGATGTTCCGTTGTGAGATTGGATGAGTCTTTAGTTTTGTTTCCCATGTACTTTTGATAAACATATGCTGTTATCTTTTTTTTCCTACTGAAACATTTGTTTTGTTTTGAGAACCCGATGATAATGCATTTCTCACCGCGTTGGACTTTTGATGAGAATCGAAGATAATGAGGTTCTTTCAAACTTTGCCGAACTTTGTGCTAGCAAAATTGCAACCGTAATGGAGATCTCCTTTGTGTTCTCAGCAAGTTCCGGAAAATTCTTTGTGGCAGTTATTTCAGGTTGCCTGCCCTAGACGATTATTTCGGGTTGTCTTCCCTAGGCAGTTAATTCAGGTTGCCTGCCCTAGACGATTATTTCGGGTTGTCTTCCCTAGGCAGTTAATTCAGGCTGCCTGCCCTAGACAACTATTTTTCTTGTTGTCCATCTATATTTGGTTGAATTGATGTGCGCTTGACCTGTGCGTGAACAGCTTTGTGTAAGACGATAGGTGGCAAAAGTGGTAGTAAAAAGGGTTATTGCGAGGTGAAGGTGATCAGTCTTCACGACACTTTGAATGGAGTTGGAAAGAAAAACCAAGAAAACAATTCAAGAGAGAGAGAAAAAGGAAAAAGTAAAGCAACTGACTGTTCGCGCTTGACTTTGATTTTTTTCCACATTCATGAACCCGGCCGATGCACCATGTCTTGGCCAATAACAACCGGGTTCTAACATTTATTGATTGAAGTGTATTGACCAAGTGTAAGGTTCGTTAAAAGCATTGGATATATCACGAGCTTCTCCCTCGTCCGCTTCTCTTCCCTTTATACCGTCAGCGGGGCCCGCCTTCCTTACATCGTGAGAATCACGACAATCATCATAATTCAACTTTTCCAAGGCACCCCAAGGTGTACCCGAAATTTTCGAAAGTGGCTAAACCGAAGCGGTTAATGCTCGTTTGTTTTGTAAAATTGTTGCCAAACCATAATCCATTTCTGTAAGTTTCAAAATCCGGAGATTTGTTGGCGTTTGATGCACTTGTGTCTGAGACGAGCCTGCTGAAATTCGGTGGTTCCATCGAAAAATCTCTACAAAAATTATGACGAGCTCTAGAAAGTAGAAAAAAGTTGTGCTATTTTTTGTAGGGTATGCTCCATCCATCCATTACTTGGACTCCTTCTGAGGTTTGTTATAAAATTTTGGAAAAATTGTGAAATTTGGCCATCTCAAAAAGCATAGGTCGCAGATTTTGACTATTTTCTGGAAGCTCAGTGACTGTATCGCAACAGCTTCATAACCATTAGAAAGAGAATGAAATGGTGCATCAAATGCTATCAGAATCTCTTACATGTCTTTGTTCCACGAGATGTGGCATACGTTTGAAAAAAGCGACATTACTTTCGGAACGACCTAATAGTAACTTGTTTGATTTTTATAGGAAATGCAAGAATCCGCACGGATAAATCTTTTGACTTTAAAATTAAAATCGTCTGTTTTATTATACATACTAGTATAAATTATATTATCTTGAATGGTGATTTTTAAATCAAGATAGTTGCAATGGTAATCATCTAAGCAATGCAATGGTAATCATCCATTTCAAAATCGCTTCGGCATCCAAACAAGCAGCGTCGCGTTGCATTGGAGGATAAATCTGCAGAAGGAGCAGCGGATCACACCTGACCGATACCATCACGACGACCATCATGGCATAAATGCCTTAACGTGTACTCCACAGTTGATGATTGATCTGTTCAAAACATCAAGGATCGCCTCTCTTATCATGATTGACTGCGAAATTCCTGCCAGCTTGGCCGAATGGCTGGAGCGTGAATTTGTCCCAACGCTGGACAAATATTATATTGGGTCTTCTCACAGCTTCATCAATTATGGAGATAACAAAATCTTGAGGGACGACTGGCTCACGGCACCGTTGAAGATCTCGTGATGAAACTTCCATCAAGCACGCGTACGACCGTCTCAGCAACCGGAGCGACCCAGGTGGAAAATCCAGGAAGTGGCGACGTTCCCTTTCCTTTCCTGGAGCTTCCACCCGAGTTGTGCCTGCGTATTCTGAAGCATCTGGCAAGACTTATCGCTTCGTCATACTACAGTGCACAACTCGAGAAATGCACCTTTGGGGAAAACGCTCATCCGTTGCAAAAAATTTCATTATACTTGTTTTATCTTTCACTAGAAGGAATGGCAAAATAAATGACAAATGCGAATACAATAATTTTGTCCTCATACAAAAGAGATTATTTAACAGTACAAGAAGTACGGTCGTCGCATTCAGTACTGTAAGTGTCGATTATCCAGTAGATGTGAATGCAAGCCAGTACGAACCGGGTGCTTCTATTACATCCGCTTCGTCTGTCGGAGATGGACAAGATGATCAATAGGAACAAAGCTATTTGGACTAGTAGTAGTGAGGACATCAGTCGTAAAGAAATACTGAGAAGAGTTATCATTTCCCAAGACAACTGGTTCTACAGGTGCAAACGTTTTGTTGCAACATACCCTCTTGGACTTTCTGATTATCACGTCTTTTATAAACATGCAAAAAATGAATCTGTCTGAAATTTTGCGTTATTGTGCGCATGTCAACCTAACATGACCCCTCAAAACGGCTTCCAGTCTGGTTGAGTTTAAACGGAGAAAAACGAAAAAATTTGAAAAAGCCCTTAATGAAAGCTGGACAAAATTATAAAGCCACCTGGTTTTTCTAATCACTATCGCATTCGTTGACTCTCGATTTTTTTTGTACAATTACATCCCAAAATATGAAACATTTGCAACACCTACGGCTTGTCATCCTACTCAAATAGGAGCGATCACTGCATTTTTTGCTTTGAAAGGCATCAAAAGTCACTCTGCTTTGACAAGAAGCTGGTTTGAGAAGTTTTTGAGCACTTCATTTTAAATGCTAGTCATGGATCCACCGACCGTTCTGAACAAATGAGGTGAACTGCGCTTTTGTAAACTCTGCGTAATCGCTAAAATTGATGGACAGACTCCAACCTCACCATAAGGTTGGCGCACTTTTGCACCACAAAACTTGATTTTCAATCACCAGAAAATACTGTAATGTAGCCATTACGACAGCCATACAACAGTGAACTTGTGCGTATGGCTAGGAACAAATTTCGGGATTGAGCACTCTGATTCAGCCGCAGTTGACATCCACTGAATTGAGTGGAGCACCCTGACAATCTAAGCCATTTCAGATCACGAGATAAAACAGGAGACGCTTGAAACTTCAAAATCTTAGCTACTCATTCGTCGGCTGAAATATGACATAAAGCACAAGGGGAAATAAGGAGATCTAGGGTTATATCGAATCATCTGCTCGCAGAGAATTTTCGTGAAAAATTTTTCAGTTCTAAATCGAAACTGCATCACTAGGGAAACTCTGTGAGTTGTGGCAAAAGCTGCATCACCGTGTAGGCAATGTGATAAGTCAAATCCAGCGCTTGATGAACATTGCAAACAGAGTTTTGGGTGCAAAAGTGCGTCAACCCTATGGTGAGGTTAGAGTCTGCTCGTCAATTTCAGCGACTACGTAGGGTTTATGAGAGCGCTCTTCACCTCATTTATCAAAAAGGATCACTAGATTTTATGAACCATTTGAAATGAACAAAAGCCTAAAAACTTCTCAAATCAGCTTCTTGTTAGAGCAGATTGACTTTTGATGCTTTTGAAAGCAAAAAATGCAGTGATCGCTTCTATTTGAGTAGGATGACAGGCCGTAGGTGTTGCAAATGTTTCATATTTTGGGATGTAATTGTAAAAAAAATTCGAGAGCCAACGAATGCGATAGTGATTAGAAAAACCAGGTGGTTTTATAATTTTGTCCAGCTTTCATTAAGGCTTTTTCAAATTCTGTTTTTCTCCGATCAACCTCATCAAGACTGGAAGCCGTTTTGAGGGGTCATGGTAGGTTGACATGTGCACAATAACGCAAAGTTTCAGACAGATTCATTGACAAGAACGAAAATGACGACGATTTCTAGAGTGGCTTTATAATTATGCTCAGCACTGTAGTACTCATATATGCATTTGCTGTATTTTTACGCGCACGGAAAGCGAGGAAAAAAGATACTCCAAAAACGGCAAATCCTTCCTCCCCCCCCCCTCCCACCCACATATGTCATTGTATACTACAAGCCTTTCTTACAAGGAAAGGATACTCGGTCACCGTGGCCATTTGGAATGCGATATAATTCGTAAGACGCACCTCGAAACGCTGATTCCAAATCCGTGCTCGATATCTGCGAAACGATCTTCTGAAGAAAGTTATGAACTTTTTTTTCGTAGAAATTTTGGTACTTCTGTGTAGTTAAAATCACCAAATTTGCTCTAAGTTACTATTTGTAGCTATTGAAAGAATTTCAAGAGAAATACTGTCGTATTATACCTATCTAAATCATATTCAGCATTTGAAGAGGAAAGAAAATTTTTATTGATGATGTTGACCCTCCGCAGTAACGCAGTTCATTCATGGAAAAATAATCATAACTCCATCCAGATTATCGTTTCGCAGATATAGAAGACAGTATTCGAATCAGCATCAAAAGATGCATTTTTTGATATACAAATCATTATGAATGGCCGCGGTGACCAAGTATCCTTCCCTTTTTAGTATAATGTCAAAGTTTTGCCATTTTATAGGCTTTTATGATCGAAAAACACCAAGTTTTACATGAAAAACCCGAAGAAAGTGGCATTTTAGCATTTTAGGACCATCTTTGTTTCCCAGTTTTGAGACTCGGACAAATTCAACCAAGTACATTTTTCTGTATTTCTATTTGTCTGTTATACAGGGTGTCCCAAAAGTATGTACACACGGTTTGATCGTTAATATCTCTCTTTCGAAGAAGTCTTTTGCTCAAATTTTGGTACCAGTTGTAGATCTTGCTTCAACTTGATTTATAGTACGGAGAGAA